ACTTTTTAAAATACTTAATGCTTTCCTTACTTGGGTTTGCTCACAAAACGTTCTATTAAAATAATTTAAATATATAATGCAATACAACTTGGTAAATTGAACTAGACAGAAATTGACTTTTACATTTAAAATGAAACAATTTATCTGAATTTCAGAAGAGGGCCCAGACTATAAGCAGTCTCTTTCCTGTAGTTTGTAATTGTTTTTTCTAAACCTGTTTATTGGACCCACACATAGCATGTAGAAATGCCTTTCAGCTGTTCAAGTGTCAGATTAAATTTTAAGCCTTTATTTACAAGTGCTCTTTAAATGAGTGTCACTCTCTTACCATCTGTGCTAGAGAGAAAATCTAAATGTTTCAGAAAGAAGAGAAGATGAGTTTTATATTTAGAACATGATATGCAGTGTATGAACACATATAGTAAATGCATTTCCAAATGTTCCTAAAAAAAAAAAATTTCATTTTAATTTTCCAGGCTTTAGATGACGCCTGAGACCACTGCATACCCATATGAGTTGCCACTCACAGCTTAGCCACATCCTAAGGCATATTTTGCTTTATTTTCTATTTTACTGTAAAAATGGTGACAATTTAAAAAGTCAGCATCAAGCTGTGGAGTCGTTCTGGACATTAAAAAGATTTAAGGAATTTATCAAACGTTGTAAAAGATGGATGTAGCTTCAGAGAGTCGGATTAAAAAAATAAAAGGATGGTTTAAGTTAAAGCACGTTGTAACTAATTGCATTTCTGTATTTGCCTCTATTACTGTACACCCACCTCTCAAAGGTGTACTCGCTCTCTGATCTGAAGTAGTAGACGTGAGACTTGAAGTGGAGTTTGAAGACGTAGTCCTTGTGGATGTTTTCTGACTCCGATGGGACGGTGACAGAGTAGCCCAGCAGAGGGAGGCTCGCCAGAGGGTAGTCATCCTGCACATGAGTCAGAAGAGGGAAACATCTGTTAATACAACCTCTACTATTAAACTGATCAGAGTAACCGAAACTACATTCTGTGGCTGCGACTGCACAAATTCAATCTAATTCAATCAGTGTTGGGGAGTAACGGAATACATGTACCACCATTACGTATGTAAAATACAAAATATGAGTAACTGTATTCCATTACAGTTACTGTTTAAAAAGGTAGTATTCAGAATACAGTTACTTTGTTGAAATGAATGGATTACACGGTGGTATTTTCCTGTTTCTGTCACCTCTCTATTTTTGGTTTCCACCAAAACACACATTATGAGGCTTCTAATGCCTGGGTCTCAATCTTGCCGCCCATGTCACCTCTACATGCGGCCCGCATAATGCCGTGAAGAAATATTTAAAAGAATTATATATACGTGCGGAATAGTTTTCTATACGAGATCGCTGCAAGAAGTGCAGCCTTACCTATGGCGAGTAACCTTCAGTAAAAGTAATAAATCACACAGCAATAGTACATTCATGTAGTTGTATAAAGTATGATAATATATTAAGTAATCCAAAGTATTCAGAATACGTTACTCTCATTGAGTAACGTAACGGAATACGTTACAAAATACACTTTGGGCCTGTATTCTGTAATCTGTAGTGGAATACATTTTAAAAGTAACCTTCCCGACACTGAATTCAATAAATTTTAAAGACACTATCAGCTTCCCACTTTTAATTATCAAGTCAAACCATTCCTGCGTATTTGCACTGTAACTGCCAGTGTTTTCCTTCTCGTCTTACCTGGTGTGACTTGTAGAAAAACAGACTGAAGTTGGTGAAAACCACCCAGAGTTTCTGCCAGCCATTGCTGTTCTTAAACTTCCTTAGCAGGTTACCTGAGAGCTGGTTCTGCGAGGGCGACAGAAGAAAGGAGAGAGCAAAAAGCAAATGGATAAAACAATCAATGATGCAACACAGTGTTAGTCTAACTGGATGTTAAAACGGAGGAGATTATGGGAAAGAGAAAGCTATCAGGTCCTGTCAATGTAATATACTCATGTTGAAATTTAGCGGGAGCATCAGTAGGTAAAGTGCAAAAAAATGCATGAATATTTGCGAATTTTAGGAAAAAATTGTTTTACTCATTTGTAAATGAGACTAAACATCCTGCAAACTGCTTACATTGATTTAGATATATGTATTTATCTTATTTATTATAAGAGTCATTTATTAATTTATATCTGATTTGTATAGCTAAACACGTTTGCAGCTGTTGCAGTACCTCTCTAATCCAGCTGGTGTTGCTAAAAGACAGGCTGTGTTTTCTGTACCAGCAAACCAGCAAAGCAAGAGATGCGGGCCCCTGAAGTCTGCTGAAGGGACTCATCAACTCACTGGCCGCACTACTGATGGCCTCTACCAATGTTAGTGCACACAGATGCAGAAATAGAGATACAGATGAACGCCGATGGAGAGAGACAAAAACACAGATATGAGCAGAAAGAAAAGACACAAAGGACATCGGGGCAATGGTTCTTTAAGCACAAAGAAGAAGAAGACAGAACAGCGGTAAACAAGTGGGACACAAACAAGCAGTTGGACTCCAAAGTCAGAGGTGGGAAGGAAAAATGGGGAATGTGGCAGGAGAAGAAAGGCGAACACAAACACCTATATCAGCTGCCCAGCTGAGGGAAGACGCAGGCTGCAGGTTGACAGGCTACAGCAGAGCTAATTAATGACGAAGTTGCCAATACTAAATGACTTATTTCTAAGGTAATTAATGACACATTTCATTAAATGTTTAATGATGTATTCAATATTTAATGGTTTATTTGTTTGTTTGCTTAATTTTAGATTTCAGTATAGTATAAAACCCTTTTTTCTGGGTCCTTTCCCACAATGCAATTTTTTTCTTTAGCGCACTTTAGCGTCCTCTGTTGTTTCCGCCTTTATTTGAAGCACTTCCACGCATGCGTCGTCCTTGGCACGTCCTCAAACTGTTACGGTGGTTCATTTTTACAATAGAAGAGCTACTTACTGCTTATTCAAGGTGGGTCTGCGCTTCTTTGTGGTAGTTTTATCACTGAGAGCCAAGCGGAAAAAACGTGTGTCACTTTACAGCATATGCTTTAAAACTACACTTCCAGTATCTGTATTTTTCTTACAGCTCGAGCAAGTTCGAGGATGGGCCTATGTCCCCTTTTCGGGCTGTGCCCCATGGACTAAGGCCCAGCCACCAGATGCACCCTCCTCGGGCCTAGCTCCAGGGCAGGGCCCGGGATAGGTAACCCTATCCCGGGCAGGGTAAACCGTTCCCTCAATGTTTTCCTCATAAGGGTCATCTAGTTTCTCACTAATGTGAAAATATTAATAGAAAAGTTGATCTGCAGCTCAGTAATTGCACATGTATAGTAAATAATAAGTTGTAGGGCCAACGTTCTCTGAACCACATGCACCCATTTGTCAGCAGCTAGCTTCCTCTTACAGGGTAAAAGCTTTGTTTTAGAAACTGACAAGCCTCCATGTCCCTGAGAAAATCACTCCAGCCTGATGCTGTGCACCTAGAAGAATGCTCTGCAAACCTTTCTCAGAAAAATGAAGATGTACTGTCAGATCAGCTTCATAACACTGACCTTTTAAAGTTTACTACCGTTAACTTCCAGGTGAAGCTAATGTGTAAGTGCCTTCAACCTGCATTCTTTTGTATGGTCAGCCTGTGCTTCATAAAAATGTGATTGCATAGAAGTCTGTGAGGAAATGACCCAGCTGCTTACTTGATTTATGACTTCACCAAAGAGTTTTCCGATGAGTGTGTGGTCTCAAAGAAAGTCTTATTTAATGGCAACTAGGTTAAGAAAGGCTTAGAAGAGACCCAGGGGCCAGATTCTGCCCGGCAGGTGGGCTTTGGAAACTTTTAAAGCTTTTCACACTGAGAAAGATCTCAGATTCATTTTAATTCTTTTCATTTACTACAATATAAAATGGACTTGCACTGTAAATGTGCAGTTAAACAAGTTTACACTGCGAGAAAGGCGAGTTTTACTGGTCCCACTTAAGATCAAAGCTGATTGTATGTTGCTCATGATGTAAATGAGTTTGACACCCCTGTCTTAGAGCATTTATATCACACAGATATGAACTCTGATGTGTTTAACTGTTACAGTCCACTTGTCTTTGATTACCTCTGAAATAAAAATTAATTCCTGATTTCTTTTGTATGATCTGTGCTGAGTCTGTCCCCTCCAGGGGATAAACTTTTATTCTGCTTTGTCATAAGCAGAATAAACATCCTGCAAATTACTTACACAGATTTTTACATATGTATTTATCTTCTTTATTACAAAAGTCATTTATTCATTTCTTTCTGATTTGGGGCAATCGTTCTTTGAGCAAAATAGAAGAAAACACTGTGGTAAACAAGTGGGATACAAGTAGTTGGACTCCAATGTCAGAGGTAGTAAGGAAAAATGGGGAATGTGGCAAGAGAAGAAAGACGCGCACAAACACAGTAGTGGTATCTCCACAGCTATGCTGAAGTCCACCATGGACACGGTGGCGTTGTAATGCCAGCAGACGTGCACGGGCTGAAACCTATATCAGCTGCCCGGCTAGGGCAAGAGGCAGGTTAAGGTTACAGATCGCCAGTCTACAGGAGGGCAATTAATGACAAAGTCAATTAATTAATACATACAATTAATTTTTCAATAATAATCTTATTTCCAACATAGTTAGTGAAAAATATTGATATTTAATGATGTATTTAATGTTTAATTGTTTATTTCTTTGTTTGTTTTTTGCTTAATTTTGACTTCAGTATAGTATAAAAACCCTTTTTCTAGGTCCTTTCCCACGATGCCTTTGTTTTGTTTGTCACTTTAGCGCCCTCTGTTGTTTCCGCCTTTATTTGGATTGCTTCCACGCATGCGCCATCCAGAGACAGTAGTGACGGCTCTTTCCAGTAGAAAAGCTACTGCTTATTCAAGGTGGGTCTGCGCTTCTTTATGGTAGATTTATGACGGAAAAAACGTGTGTCACTTCACAGCGTGTGTATTAAAGCTGCACTTCCGGTATCGGTATTGTTCTTACAGCTCGAGCAGGTTTGAGGAGCTCTGAGGTAGCCTAGCTTATGCTTTTGCATTACACAGTGATGATGTGCTTGCCTGGTAATTGTAACTGACTGTTAACTTACCCATAAGCATAACATGGTGTAAACAGTGTTTTTCACTCATATACTGTCATTGAATGACCTCTCCCAGCTCTAACACTAAAGTATCTGTCCGATTATCTCTCAGCCTGTTAATCATTGAGCACGTACTGTACTTTATATTAATAACCAATCCAAAGAGATCCAGTCACGACAGGTCCAAGTTCACAAGTCACAGCATGACAGGAATGTGTGCAGATCCAGTCTGACAGTTGGTGTTGTAGGAAGTGTTTTATTATAGTCCTGTTTAATCTGTGCATGTAATGCTAATCTGCTGATTGTTTTCTGTCACGGTACTGGGTCGTGTGACCCAGTGTTTGAGTTTTATGTATTTTTGTATTCATTTTTGATCTAGTTAATTTCTAGGTTTCTGTTTAGTCCTTTATTTCTTAGTTGTTTCTGTCATCTCCCCCTGTACTCAGTCTCCCTGGTTTATGCGTCTACCTGTCATGTTTCATGTCTATGTGGTTATGTTAAGTCTATGTCTCCGTGTTTCCTGTTTTATTTTGGAAGAGTCTGGCGTTCCTTGCTCATTGTAGTTAGTGTTACTCTCCCCTGTATTGTCATTATGTTTCATAATCAGCTAGTCAGCTGTGTTCTCATCTGTCTCTGCCTCATGTGTGTATTTAAGTCCTCAGTCTTCCTTTGTCTCCTCGCCTGTGTTCGCGCCTGGGTCCACCACACACTCTCCACAAGGTCTGCCTCCGCTGGCCGTGACAGCTTTCCTAATTAATGCGTGTAAGGAGTTCAAATTTCCAAACAGTGTTACCTAGATTTGAGTTTGATTTTATTTTGAAGGTCTGATCATTTTAAATGAGATCAAATTTGCACTTCTGCACAAGTGACTGACATACAGAGTAATAATAAAATTGTATAAATATATTTTTGCCAGTAATACCTGCTGGGAATTTGCTCACAGAGATGTTTCTCCTTTCTTTACACGACAGGTGCGTCTTTGGTCCTCTGTCCTCATGACTCGGGTCTTCGTTTACGGCACTCTGAAGAAGGGGCAGCCCAACAACTGCCGCTTGTTCGAAAGCAACAATGGAAAGGCCGAGTACCTGGGTTTGGCGTTCACCATCCAGAAATACCCGCTACTGATCACCACCAAGAACAACATCCCTTTCCTGCTCAACATCCCTGGCCAGGGTCACCGAGTGCACGGGGAGATCTACAAAGTGGATGACCAGATGCTGAAATTCCTGGACGATTTTGAAAGCGTCCCAACGTTGTACCAGCGGACGGTGGTCCAGCTGGAGGTGAAGGAGTGGGTGGGGAAGATGGAAGGAGAGGAGAAGGTGTCACCGGGGAGCATCATGGACGTGTTTGTGTACACCGCCACAACGTGCGAGCCAGACTGGCGCTCGCTGCTGTGCTACGAGAACTACGACTCAGAGGGAGATCACGGGCTCAAATATAGGCGTAGAGAAGAGCGGGACTGATCTCATCATGCTGATGCAACTGACAAATGGACATCTATGTGGTGTTAGCAGAACGGGTGAAGGAGCTCTCAGGAAAACAACACCTGGACATGGGTGCTGTTTCCTGTCGTGTGTCGAATTGAAAGAAATCACAAGAGAAATTAATTTTAATAGCAGATAGGTAGGCTTACAATCACAGTAAGGATAGTGTAGAGAAGGAAAAGGGCACACTGTGCCACTGAAAGTTGCACATTAGTGATGTTGTTTACAAATTTGGTTTTATTTTTATGATTTATAATCATCTGGGAAGCATTATGAGTAATGTATGGCCAGCCTGTGCTTCATAAAAAGTGATTGCATAGAAGTCTGGGAGGAAATGACCCAGCTGCTGATCAATGTCAATGCCATTAAACAAAACGCATTGTGTCATTTGATACACCTGCTCTTAGCAGTGCTGTCAAACATAAGCTCCGGGTGCTAGATTCAGCCCAGCAAAGGCTGCCAATTTGACCCACTGGGTGGGCTTTGGAAATTTTTATAGCATTTTTACACACTGATAAAGATCTCAGATTTTTAACATTTCTTTTCATTTACTATGGTAGAAAAAATGATTTGCACTATAAATGTGTAGTTAAATGTGTTTATACTGACAGAAAGGAGATTTTCACTGAGTTTAACACTCTAGGCTTAGAGCATTTATATTACACAGATATGAACTCTGATTTTACACTAATCTGCAGACAATGTGTTTAATATTTACATTCTGCACATCTTTGTTTACCTCAAAAATAAAAATTCACCCTGATTTTTTTTGTATGATCTTCCATGTGCTGTGTTCATCCCCTCTAAGGGATAAACTCAATAAAAAGAGAAAAAAAGAAATTTTTGTATAAGTTTCATTTTGTTCCATATGAACACAATCTATTCATCTTTATTTTAAAATAGTAAAATCCATAAAACTTGAGGAATACTGAAGAGAAGGTAATTGGCAATAAACCAGCAAAATCTCTGTTGGCTTTGGAAGAAGGTTTCAGGTGTTTTGAAACAAGACAAAGAAAAAAAAGAATTAAGAATATTTCACAGTGTCAAAAGTACTGTACAAAAAAGATGACTTAATAATAATAATAATAAT